ATAATATTTTAAGGAACAAAGGGTATCGAATTGCTTACAAATCGAAGAATACCCTAGCCCAAATCCTCAACAAACCAAAACATAGAAATAAAACAAATCATGACGCATCGGGGGTATATAAACTCAAATGTGCCACATGCCCAAAATACTACATTGGTCAAACGGGCCGAAGTTTCAATGTCCGTTATAAGGAACACCTTCCCAAAAACTCCCACAAAAACCAATCTACATATGCCGAACATCTTATAGACAATAACCATTCATATTCTACAATAGACCAAGACCTCAAAATTTTACATAAAGGATCAAAAAGTAATATGTTGGATATAATTGAACAATTTCACATGTACAGCAACACCAAGTCCAACCCATCTGAAATCCTCAATGACCAACGCAATTTTTCAGCAAACATAATTTTTGACACATTGCTGAAAATAAATAATCAATCATACACCTGTCCACTTCGATCCAATTAAGACCAGAATCTTTTCAATCCGTAGTCAACATAACCTACAACAAGTACAATCCTGTTGATTTTGACAGTTGCCAGCAACAGGTTCTCTAACCAAAGTGAGGTTATCTGACATTATAAAAACCATGGTTTTTAACCCTAATTGTTTTACTCTTTTCGCATTGACTATGACTTGTATTGTCTTAAATGTTGTGAAACTTTCTACGAAACCCAACGGGTGGATTCTATTTTAGAAAATTTGGTCTACTAGATCCCGACTGATGATGGACCTTAATTAATTTCGGATCAAAAAACAGGATTGCTAAGGTAAGGCCTTATAATATCACACAATTTAAATTGAAAATAATTATGCATGTTGAATGAATGGAGATGACAGATTTGTTTCTGTCTAAACAAATTGCTGGTTCTTTGGACAGGGCCATTTATTCAAAGCCCAATAAAATCAAGGACACCTGGGTCCATTTTCAAACAATCAAAGGCTTTTTCCACAGGATTTAACCTTAAACCTTCTGTTTTCTAGGAGAGAACAGGTAGCACCATTCAACTACCTATACTCCCCTCCCCTTTAAACTCTATGTGGACATTGTCATTTGCCAAACGCACCCCAAAGACTTATTCAGTGCTAAAAAACACCCTTCGAGCAATGCTAGATTAATGAATATGCCAGATATTAAGAAAACACAGTTTCTATAGCCTACTGTCTTCAAAATTCACATGCAAATTGGAGGTGTTTAACTAAACAGAGGAGAAAATCAGCTAATAAGGTATTTCAAAAACTGTACGAATTCCTCTAATATAAATTTAAGAGAGTTGAAAGCTTAAGAACAGTTTTGGATTAAAGTTTTGATATAAGAACATGAAAAGTAATTACTACCCTCACAAAATCAGTAGTAGTTTGATGAGGGAAGGACAAACATGATAACATTTGGAAGTCCATCCCTCGGTTTTTTTTTTTTTAATTCTTGAAAACAATCTTGCATGATGGTTTTCCAAACTATACCTCACTTTTCTAATCCAAATAGTATCAAGGATAATATTGATTTACCTCATGGGTAAGGAATATTCAACATCAGACAGTAGATTCCTTCCAATTTCCGAGAGATCGAATAATCTACTCCCAGCTCCACTCTGGAAAAAATTGTTCAGTCAAAAGAATTACGAGATGTTAATTAAGAAAATAATGATTGATAGAGCAACATGCCCTTGTTTATATACTTATAGCGATCCCCAAAATATCGACAAAATTATCTATAAACTTATAAAAGTACAAAAACACATTTAAAATAAAATAGTGATTGAACGTATTTTAAGAAGATCTATTTTGGAATTTGTTTCGCATAGCAGTTATTTGAAGGTTTAAATTCAAGCGATTTTTTTTACTAGGAATTGTTTTTTACATTACTTTGGCTAGTCAGGCTATTATAACTTTATAAAATCCATTGGTGATTGGCGAGGTTTGAACCCGGGACATCAAGGAACAAAGTACCGTCTAACACTAGACCAGCTCGCTCTCATTGAAGTCAATATTAGTAAACACTCAGCTTTATAATGAGTGTGGACTCTAGAGGAATGGTCTTAAAACTTTTTCAAAATAATTTCTAGGCAAACTTCATAAAAATACACTTAATTTCAATCAACAAGTACAAACAAAGTCGTAAGTGTTTACGTTTAGCGACGTGCATTCGTCAAGGTCGTCGGAGAAGTCAGAGTCGGAGAGGATGGAATCGGTGGCTCGTTCTCTCTCGGCCCTTCGTCCAAGTATTGGAGCAGCTTCGTCACTTACGACACTTGACGCGGCCTGACTTGTCGAGTCTTCTGATGTCTCGTACATGTCACGACCTACGCAATATGGATGAATTCGTAACAAAGAAGAAAAAAAAATAAGAAAAGCCTGCATATTGCTTTGGATCAAACAAGCAAACTAAGCAATCTTTAAAATGTTATAAATCATGAATAAAGTATTTCCAATTCTGAACCTTCATATTTGAAGGCGAGCTCTATATCCACTCATCCACTCCTAGAAGACAATGATCACTGAATTAAATCATAGATCACTGGATCAACTGAATAAAGCCTTTTTTTTTGTAAAAATTGCTTTAGGCCCTGGTTTTAAAGGATTTTGTGGTGGATCAGTTTTAACAGAAGGCTGAAGAAAGTATGCAGAAGGCAGGAATGTTTTACCTTACTGAAGAAAGTAGATGAAAATTTGCAAATAAACACATAGAATTTTCACCTACTTTCGTCAGTAAGTAATCCTTAAAAATCATCTAAATTTAGTTTTGCTAGATACTCAATTTGCATCAACAACAAAAATACACAATGAAAATGTTGGGCTTTAAGTACAACTAGTGTCCCTGTTGCAATTGCTAAGTATTACAGGCGTTATTTTAAAACGAATAACAGTCATAATTTCTGATGACTTTAAATGATTTGACTCAAAGATTATGGAAATACTCAAGATGTACATAACAGATCGATATAATCAACATTTCTTGTAAATATCTTATCATTTTTCAAAAGCTGATCTTTTTTTAGGGTTTTCTACAAAAAGCCTTACTCATAGCTGCATTAAATTGTCCATAATACTTACTTACTTACTCTTACTCTCATGGCCATGCATATCTAAGAAGATATTTGGCCACACCAAAAAAGCCTCTCCATCTTGCTCTATCCTCTGCATCCTCCTCAGTTGCTCCTAGTTGCTCTATGTCTTTCTTTACTTGGCTCCACCATTTTTGTTTTGGCCTTCCTCTCGGTCGTCTTCCAAAACTAATTCAAACTTATTTTGCTCCTCTCTTCGTAAAACATGTCCAGCCCATCTAACTCTTCTACACTTAAATTCACACACCACATCTGGATCTCTGTAGAGTTCTCTCGTGTCTCTTCCTCCATTCACCACCTTCATAAATTGGTCCATAGATTTTTCTTAAAATCTTATTTTCGAATGTGATTAACTTCTTTTCTTCTTTTTTATTTGGTTTCCATGTTTCAGCTCCGTATAATAATACTGGGCTTATTATTGTCTTATAAATTCTAACTTTGGTGTTTTTTGACAGTAACTTGGAGGACATCAGTCTGTTGCAAGTGTAGAAACATCTGTTTGCCAGATTTAGTCTATTTTGAATTTCTATTAAATTGTCCATAATAACGATTATAAATTTAAAAAAAAACATTATTTCTATTTATTCTCCTTGGTGGTGTTCTATGCCTTTCCAGTGTTTCCATAGTTTGCAAATCGGCTCTTTCAATGATTACTAAGAAATGCAGCACAGTGTTAATCCAGTTTTCTTTTTAGTATATCAATTTATCCAGGCTCTCTCGCTTTTTTCCAATAATATTTACGCCAACACAAATTCAAATAGTAAAAATTTCATTTCAACCAAGTCAGTATATGTTTGTAGCCAACTGTTAAGGCCCGGTTTCCCCAACTCATTTAAACTTAGTTTTAAGTTAAACGGCGATTTAAACTTAGTTTAACTTTGATTTGTGTTTCCCCAAATTTAAACTAGGTATTAATCTAAGTTCAAACTAAACCACCTCTCGACTCGGTTTAACTACTGGGGATAAAATAAACTGAGTTCAAATTAGTAAATTACAACAGTAAAATAACCTCAAATCAAAACAAAAAGTAGGTGGTAAAACAATAATAATTGAAGCAACTACAAATTAATTTGGACGAAAATAGGCTTGGTTTAGGGATAGCTTTAAGTTAAGTTTTATTTGTATTTTAATTTATTGTTTTTATTAAGCTCTTTTTTTAGTATATTTGATTTTATTTCAAGTAAGGCTACTATTAATTAATTGCAGTAACTTATTTACCCCCTCAAACGGAAGAGTTAATAGACATTTCCGAAGAAGTAGAAGATGAAGATTATGATACTTTAGTACCTAGAACAAGAGGGCCTACTAAAATAAGGGACAGAATTGACCATTTCAATAAATGGAATGAATCTGAATTTGACAACAACTTATATAATAAAATGATAACATAACCTTAAAAACAGTGATATGTTATTCTATAGCTGCATTCGCACTTTGCTCGTCTGCTCTACCGAGTTGTAGCGTAGCGTAGCGAGCGTTGTAAGAAACACTAGCCCAAAGCCCACCGAAGATTCTTTACAAATACACATTCAGGATTGCCAACCGCTCGAATTGCCGTTTATCTTAAACGAAGCCAGTAAAATGTCGGAGAAACCGAACACACATTTTAAACGGAGTTTAAAAATAAACTAGTTTATTATAAACGTAGTTTACACCATTTTGGGGAAACCGGGCCTAAATTAGCAAACTTATTGACTGTTTACAATGAACATATGTTCTTCTTCTCACTTTTAATTTCTGACAACAGCTGGAGTTTCATAACAATGTTTGTTTCCCATGTTAATCTTATGGAGAAATACGAAACTTTAAAGGGCCTCACTCTCTAATTATTTCCCTAAAAAAAAAGTTTCCTGCACAACTTCACGTTAGGCTCTTTCCAATGACACCAAAAACATGTCAATCGGTTCAGTAGTTTCGGAGGAGTAATTGTCACAAAAAATCTGCTTGCGTATTAAGTAAGATTTTGTCATCCTGTTGCTAATATTTTGAAGATCTCATTTGCGCATGGAAGAAAATAGTTTGTTGTCCCTGAATGAATGAATAGTTTAGATTAGATAAAGTGTTATTTTTATGACTTCTTACCTGTACTAAGGCTATCATCTGGACTAATTCTGTGCTTCAGGATGGAAGTCACTTCTTGTGGTTTTTTAGAGGTGCTTGGACCTTAAACATAAAACCTCTAGATAACACAGTTATTGTATAAAACATGTACATTAGAAATTAAGATATTATTGCCAAATAAATGGTAATTTAATAAAATAGGTAATATTGTTTAAGTTTAAAGTTTGCAGTGTTACTCGGAACAGTAATACAGAAATCTGATATACTGTGAAAATTTTTTTTTTAAATACAGTAGAATGGTAACACAACCGATTGTCAAATCTAGGTCTTCGGGTGATGATTGCATTGTTGAAAGAGTGAAACTAGAGGCCAACGTTTTGGATAGAAGATGTATAGCTGCTATGCATATCGAACGTCGGCCTCTAGTCTCTCTTTCAACGACACGGTCATCACCCGAATACCTAAATTTGACAATCTGCCATAACCGTTGTAGCGTATCATCTAGAATAACACAACCGGTTTAAGCTTACTTGGTGTAGATTTTGGTGAGAACTCTGCAGTAGTATTTGTTGAATTTTCACCAGAAGTGTTGAGTGAGGGTTTGGTTTGTGAATCTGGACACATGGTTGGAAGCCGGCAGTGATTTTGGATCCTAAACCAGAATAAAATATTAACAAGACAAATAAAAACAGGAAATGTGCTCCAGAAGACTGAAATTAGTCAGTAAAAAGCAATCAAAACACAAATCATGTTTTTAAAACACTGTCATCCTTCAAATTAACTGTAAATGGCATGACATTTTGTGAGCGTTGTAGTAAATTAATTAACTTTGTATCTAACCAACAAATGGTTTAAGCGCAAGGCTGAGAGTAATACTAAAAAAAACTTTTCAGCAAAAAAAATTACGTTTGCTCTCCAACGGGTTTTATTAGAAAACTTAATGAACTTCTTCTGCGCAATCCACTGCTTAGAAAAATTTTAGCTCAAACATCAATGACAAATGGGTAAAGTTTTAAACGTCAAACAATTTCAACTTGAGTCAAGATTGAACCAGCAAACGTCTTTCCACAGAAGGATTATGGATTCTAACTCACAATAAGATTAATTGTAGACGGACAATTTTACCTATTAACATACCATTTGTCAGCCAGGGATAAAACTTGGATCTCTCGAACATGATGTAAAGTTGCCTGAGCTTGTTTAACATATACCGGCTCTGGCCCGGGATTTCCTTCAATCCTGAAAGATAAGAGCAGAAAACATATTTACTATTCTTGATGAAAAATGTATATTAACTAAAATAGCAGCGTTTATTAGCATTTTGCCTCCAATCTTAAATGTTCTGGAAGAAAATCTGAACGGAAAAACAGCAATTAAAGAAGAAACTGTATCGGAAGTGATGGATAATTTTGAGAAAAATTTCTGATGTGAATCTTTAAGGAGGTACATCTTCTAAAATAGTTTTTCTTGTTTTTTTGTTTATTTTTTGTAATTAGATCCTTAGAAGCATCCATTATCATAAGGTAATAAAAATTGGTAAAAATTATTGGCGTTAAATTTATTTTAAAACTTTTGTGACATCTAGTACTTACTTTACCGTGCAGCCTCCAGATTCCAACAGTAAGGCTAACAGACAGTCTTCCTACAAACCAAAAAATATTTATTAATTTTTAAAACTCTTTTTTCTTGTAAAATCTTAACTTTAACTATTCCAGTTCCAGATACAGTGATATCAGTCATCAAATTAACTTCTAAAGAATTGGTGTAAATACTTGCATTTATGGGATGAAATGTGTTGCTAAATTGCAACAGGTTTCGACTCAAATAGGAGTCATCGTCGGGCTAGTACAGATGTCTTCTTGCTTCATTCGAAGCAATTTTTAAGGTTAAAAATGAAGGGTAATTCTTATAGAAGAGTTATAGACATAACTCCCACCCAATTACTTCGTGTCCCATGCCATTGCAGTATTACCCCTTGTTTTTAACCCAAAATTTCAAATGAAGCGAGAACACACCTGTACAGGCCCGGCAATGACTCCTATGTGAATCGGAACCGGTTGCAATTTAGCAACACATTTGATCTCATAAATGAAGATATTTATACCAATTCTTTAGTATTTAAATGCAATCAGGAGGCTAAAATTCTATTGCCAAATAAACACACTATTTCATACAGCTTTATCCGTGGGAGTATACCCCAACATAAAAAACCACAGCCAAAGTATATGGCGTGTGCTGCAACCTGTAAGTCAAGTTTATAACTACAACACTTGGGCTTTGGGCTATATTGTTAATTTTGTATATTGTTTTGCCTAATTTTAAAAATCAGTAGAAATCGGTGGAAACAGGATGGGTAGGCCTAGATTATTATTATGTGAGCTGCACCTTGGAATCAAAAAACTTTACTACTTATACTCAACCTAATTATGTGCGAGTTCACAAAAATCATGTTTAAAAGAATTCAAACTTAAGTGTTCAAAAGTTCAAATAATGAAGGATTATTACAAGAATGGGCATGGTGAAATCAATAATTAATCTATTACTGTAGGTTCAAAGGAATGAATTCTTGTCTATTTAAAGTTTTTTTTTTTTTGTTTTTTTTGCTTTGTTTGAGACAAGATTACAATCATTCTTTCTCTACATACCTGACCAACCACCAGCAGGAACCAGCGACCCTGTGGCAGGAAGTACGTGAGGGTGACAGCCGGCTGCCCTCTGTTGCATGAAGCCGGGAAAACTTCTCTCCACATAACAAGGTTACGAACACTTTCCGATCGCGAAAGTAACAAAAGTCCGTTGTGACGACACCAAGCATTCACATCCACTAGGTCTTCTCTATTGAAATGAGAGGCTAGAAGATATCCCTGCAAATTCAAAATGTTTAGATACCGTAATATTAACGATTCACATTTTTTGTTTAGAGTAATCAAATCATATAAGTCGATGTAACTAACCTTATAAAACAGACAGGAGCCGATGATTGAGTAAAGCCTCTGGCAGTCGTCTTCATCGTTCTGGAAAAATAGAATCATTACATGTTTACTACAAGAACAAACACATGTAGCAATGTGTAGTTGAAAATCCATGTAATGATGGTCTTTTTCAATTCATTAAAATCTATTAACAAAAAACTATTATCAGAAACATTTGTCCTACTGTTGCAAAATAAAATCTATCTAACCCAAAATTTACTTACCAATCTATTTATGGTCATACAGTAAACCTTCATGAATCCTCCTAACTAATTCAGGTTCCTAGTCATCAGCATTAATGAAATATGGATGAAAATTAAAAATCTTAAATGATGAAGTGCTTTCTAGGATAGCTTGTACTTCATCATTACTAAGTGATGGGTGGAACTAGCTCAAGCCAACATGATTGCTTCAAATAGTCACCCACTAAGAATAATGTCTGTAAGCACATTTTTAATTTAGCTGCATTAAATTATTAAACACTACTGTGAAATTGCTGTCGGGATTAGGCATAGCTGATTTTATTTGGTCTGAATTTATTATGGTTTAGTTTCCTACAGTAACTTATATTTTTAATTTAACAGTTGTGTACCTAAGGTATGTTAATGCTAAGTTTTTCCCATGGTTCAACATAAACGTATCACATATTTTTTCTTTCAAAATAAACATATTGGATTATTTTTCACAATTTTTTTATTAGGTAACTAAGTCTAAACCATACTTACATATCCTCCAAAATCATTGGACTCAAGTTCACTTAGGGCATCATCAATTTGAACCTGTCCACAAAATTCAACTTCAATTAATGTTACAAATAAAATGTAAACAGTACAAGTGAAAAAGTATTTAATTGCCCCAAAACATTACAACTTAAATTTATTGAATTCGTTGATTTTCAGCATAAAAAATATCTGTTGATGTATAGGATAAGTAAGCAAAATTTGTAACTATTATCGGTATTGACTTTTGTACAGCAATAATGTTGTTTTTATACTTAATTTTAAAGGCTAGTATTTTAACCGAGTAATTAAATACTCAAAACAAATAAAAATTTAAATGCCACTACACTCACCCATTTCTAAAAACGTTTAGATTATGCTTCATAGCTAATAATCCTCTACAGCTTTTCTCAACCCAAATACACAAGCAGCAAAAAATTTATACCTGAGCGTCTCTTGGCAAGGCTATGAAATGAGCCGCTGGCAAGAAATCGAGAAACCTTTGAATATTTATCAAGGAAGAGCTGAGAAACTGGGCTTGCAACAGGGAGAAAACTCTGTCTAGGGCTGCATGGTGTTCTTTGAGAGAAAAACATCTGTAAACATAGAGCAAGAACAATCTATGATAACATGTGTAAAGTTAAACATGAAGTTTAAATATTACAATTACTCCCATTCAATGTTTCATTGGCCAAATAGTTTTATGGACGGATTTTATTCTTCCGCCAGACTACTTTTCACATCATTCGAAGATGTACGAGTAACGCTTAAATTTTATCAACTGTTTTATCTCTTATATTTGATTTATGTTCTACATAATGTATGCTTTAGGCTGACAAAGTGTCAAAGACCATGTGTTTCACTTAGAGAGAGGTTCAATGCTCTCCTATGTTCCTATGTTTCAGATATCCCTCAACAAAACTCTTAAAATTAAGTGAAGTTAAAAAACATTTAAAATAAATCTATACATTAGTAAATTTCCCAAGCAAGTAGGCATCACATGTGACTTAGCATGTTTCACAAATTAAACGTACGCAAAAGTAAACTTACCTCGATAAAGATTGATAAGTAAACTTTAAACATCGGACAATGTCGGTGTTCAACAAAATAGCTTCCTTTAATGAGCACCTGTTGAGAACAAACATTCAATATAGCTTTTGATGACAGAATTTACATCTTAAGCCAAATAACCTACAACTAAATTATTTACAGAAATTCTAGAAACATTCACTGGTAAAGAAATATAAAATAGTGCTCTCTCCTAACTAAAAATTAAAAATGTTTTCCATTAGGACACAGCAGTAACAATATTTTGAATTATTTTACATTTTATCAAATATCAGTTTCAATTTACAACTGTAATCCATGGTACAAATTTTTAACTAGAAAATAGGTTTATCAACAAAGCATGGAAATTGTTACTCGTCACTATCCTTATTTTGATTTGTAATTATTTTTTTTTTCCTGGCAGTACTCTACATCAAGAATTTACAAAATTAGAAACAATCAATCTACAACTTTCACTACCGGTACCAATTGTCTTATAAAATAAATGAAGGTTGGAGACGGGCAATGTGTAACTAACGAGTAGTGATCTTTGAGTTTCAAGCAGATTGAATCTCAAAACTCGCCAATTGAATCTTAAACTGAAACCTTTTTGTTTTACAGATTTGGTTTTGACATATCACAAATAACCAGTGGTTTAATTTGCATACTAATGAATTGATTTATTGATTGTTGATTTGAATAATAGTTTATAAATAAGATCAGGAAATGAAGATTATTATAGATAAAATGTAAGGATAGGCGGATGGATTTGTACATATTGTGATAATTAAAATAACTAAAAATGTACTGATAGACAGGTTAATGGAAAGGTGTGCTGAAGAACTAATAGTTTTGTGGATTATTGATAAAAATGTTATTTCACCTTGAGTCTGGAATGGCTAGCAACAACAACTCCTTGTTCTCCGCAGTGTAAATGACATGAGCCAGCTGACCTTTGTGAACTATTGTGGTGCTGAAAAGTCAAAAATCAATAATTTATTTTCACATTACACAGAACAAGCAAAGCTGGAAACAGGTAAAATAGTCAAACATTTAAAATAAATAGGAACTAAAATAAAAAAATGATAAGATAGCCATGGTAGAGGTAGATATGTGAATACACAATTAAAAAATGTATAACTTTACATTTGATCAAAAATCAGTTTTGTTGCTTCTTGAATTAACTGTTCAAAAATTTCAACTGACTAGAGACAATCAGGCAGTTTATTATACATTTTCCCTAGATAAGAGGAAGAGTTTCAAGTTTGGAGAGCCTGCTATTGAAGTCTTCTGGAGTCGTAGCAAAATTCTGATCATCATCCCCTCAGTCACGTAGACATCATCATCGTATCCCAAAATCGCGACAAAATCATGAACATATCCCTTGAGCATGTGACATTATTATCCTCTGCTGCAATCACTGCTAAATTCTGATCATGTCCCACAGTCGTGTAGACATAGTCATCGTTTCCCGCAGTTGTGTAGACATCTTCATTTTCTCCTGCAGTCGCGGCACAATTGAGTATTCTCCGCGGTAACATGGTTGTAAAGCTAAAATTGTATATTGCTTTGCTACATACAAATTACATAGTGGTTGTGAATTAACAAATAAGGTCCCTATTTTGTTTCAAACTCCTGGTCCTAAGGTGGCTTGAACGAGATGAATTAATTTTATAATTTTAAGACACATAATAAACCAACCTAGTGACAGGTGACGGAATGAGTTGTCCAGCCATATGTGCTATGGTAAGGAACACTCCTCGAGCAGCTGCTAATGTGTTTTGGCGGGGGTAGCAGTACACCACCCCCTGGACTAGTCTCCGTTACCCCCTCCTGTGTTGCATACACCACCCAGAAAGGCAGTTCCTCCCCCGCCCTCTCCACCGTACCCGACACTATCTGCTTCACCAGCGGCGACTGCTCGACGGTGACCTAAAAGCAAATTTTTTAAGAGGAAAAATTACTGATTTCTGCTAAATACGCTAACTTGTTAACCAAGCCAAACTGATAAGACAGCTTATCGTAAACTATAGCATTTTATAAGTCGTAATAAGTTTGGTTGTATGTGATTATAAAACTATAATCGATTAAATAATATAATCAAACTTTCATGTCAATTTTATTAATTATATAAGTATCGCATCTTATATCTTTTTACAATAATAATGACGATGTCAATTACAATAATGTAGGGCCTATTGTTTAAAGACTGAACAAATGACTATTCAATGACTATACCTTATCTGGCTGTGAGACGGGTACTTGAGTGATATCGCATTCAGCGACTCTTTGTAACTGCAGTGTCACCTAAAAAAAGTATCATCAGTTTTATTTCTGTGAATTTTGTTATTAAAATAGTTCAAAATACCCCCACCGCAGCAAACCTGCAGACTAAGCTAATTCCCATTTGCCTGATTGGATTTACAATGAAATATCTCCTAAAAAAATATCATATCTATTCCCTATCTAAATCGCATTAGCTTAACAAGTAACTTAGGTTTGCTGCAACAGGGAGGGTAAAAAGTGTGTTTTTTTATGTTAATAGGCCTAGTTTATTATAAAATAAATGCATTTTCCAAATCCATAAACAGTCAAACTACAACAGTTCATTTATTCTCCATTACAATTTTTGTTGTATTTTCTCTGTAAGCATTAGGCGAATGATAACACTTTGTTTTGAATCTTGAAATAATTACCAGAAATTATAAAATAATTATTTCACAAACAGATTAGTAGGCTTCTTTATTTATACCAAAGTCTTAACTCAACCTTTTTAACAATTAAATTAATTCAATACAAAATATTTAACATGTGGTAAACCAAAACACAGTAGATTAGAAAAAATATAACAGTCAGATCAAAAGGAAAATCAATGAAGTGAAAACATATTCAATAAAGTTCACAACATCCTCCCCCCATTTAAAATTGCTAAACAATTATGTGCAATTTTAAATCAGTAAAATCGCTGGGGCACTTTTACTTCTCTTCCACATCTGGTTTTCTTCTTAGCGAAATCAAAGACTTCGTTTTCAACTACTTCTTCTTCTTCAAGTGGTTTATTTTCTTTCATACACTCTTTTTCACAAGCTGTGATTTCTAATGGAAAAAGTCTTTGTAGTGGTCTTGTCAAAATACCATTTCCAGTTTTTAGTCTTGCGACTCTGGAGAATCCATCTCTTCCTGGATATACATCTTGTACCAACCCCAAAGGCCATCTTATTCGTTTTGTGTTATCATCTCCTATCAATACAACTTCTCCAATAATGGGTCTTCTACTTTTCTTGTTTTTTCCATTGTGAACGAGTGTAGCCAAATATTCTTTCTTAAACCTGTCTCTTAGTGATCTTCTTAATTTGTTTATATAACGCACTCTTTTATTCAAACTTAGACACTCAATTTCATCCAAATCTGGTAATTCAGCTGTTGATGTTGGTTGTAAGAATAAGGCTGGAGTTAATGGTTGTAAACAGTCATCATCATTCGAAAGATAAGTCAAAGGTCTTGAATTTACAGTTGCTTCACAATCACACAAAATTGTTGAGAGTTCTTCCTGCGTGACTGAAGAATTTCCCAAGTTTTGTCGTAAAATTTCCTTTACCACTCCAATAAGTCGTTTCCACCACAAAAATCTTAAAGCTTCTTTGTCACTTTCTGTTAAACTTCCTTGCAAGAAAGCTTTCTTAATATCTGAAATAACCCCTATTGGGTGTTTTCTAAACTTCATTAGAAGAGCTGGAATTAGTTCTATTAAATAAGGTCCCTTTTCCAAACAAGAGTTAAGAGAGTTCCCTCTACTATCGACTGCAGAAGCATCAATGACTGGTCGAACCTTAGTAGTCAAACTGGATTCTTTGACCACAGCGTGATGAGGTAAGTAGTGTATAGGTCTATCAGTTACAGAGGACTCAACAACCCTTTCAATATTGTTTGAATTTAACCACTCTGAAAATACCTGATCATACTCATTGAACTTTTCTAACTTAATCAACTTCTTGGTCACTGCATGTAGTCGCTTCTTGGCTGTAACTTTGTTGTCCATAAGCTCCGGATGGCCTTCAATCCATGGAAGAGTCACCTCGTACCTATTTTCACTTTTTACTACAATAGTTTTGTTAAAATGCTCCAAAACATCTGATGCATTCGCCTCCTTTGTTTTACTACCTGATGGATCAGTGATGCCCAAAACATCTAAACTCCATAGATCTGAAATGTCCATTTTAGCAAAGCAACTAATGCTAATAAGTGACTGGTTACTTTTTCCACATTGGCCCATTACTGTCCATCCTAACACAGTCTGAACAGCAACCAGAGTTTGATCTAGCTGTTCAATTTTACCTGTGAGCAGTTGGCCCAAGATATCAGCTCCTAATAGTAACTGTATTTCTTCTGCTGCATCTTGTCCAATATCTGAAAGGTATATATTCTTCTTCTTTAAAATAGGAAAATACCTTTTTGTATCTAATCTGGGTATGTAATTGCAAATCTTGTCTTGATCAAGCACATTAACTGAAATGCCAAATTTACCCTTTGTGTCACGCAACTCTACTTGGTAAAGATTATGTGGAGTCTCTTTAGTTTTAATACCTCCAAACAAACCATGAACTATTGATTCCTCACCAGATTCTATTAATTTAAGTTTCTCTACACAGTCCTTTGAGATATAAGACCTTTGAGATCCAGAATCCAACAATGCTCTTACTAGTAAAGATTGCTGGTCAGGTCCTATTACTTTTACTAGAAGAGTTTGTAATAAGGTTTCCTTATTCTGATTTGCAATCAAGGACTCAGATTTGTCATTAATTTGAACACTTTCAATGACATTTGATTTGTCATAATCATGAGTATTACTGTGCATCATTTTCTCTAAACTAGGACACATTAAGCAGTAGTGTTTCCTTTTACAGATAGCACAGGATACAAAAACTTTACATTTATTACTGCTGTGACCTAACTTTAGACATGAGAAACAAGCTCCCTTTTTTGTCACAAACTCTCTCTTTTCTTTCAAATTGAGCTTTTGTAACCCAGAACAGTCTTGAGTGTTGTGATTTCTTTTATTACAAAATAAGCATGTAGGCTTACT